AGAGTCGCAGGAAAGATCTGTCACCGCAGCACCTCGCGGGGTGATGCCGCCGGGCTGGCAGCAGGATGGGGCGGGAGGTTGTGGCGGGGTTTATCAGCGCTGATAAGGGGCGAGCTGGCACCGCCAAGGTTAGCGTGAACGGGGCAAGTTCCAAATCAATAGCCGCAGGGCTGGCTTGGGGACAGCGATGGCTGCAGATAACCCCCGCACGGTCCCATCCCTCCATGCTGTCACCCGCACCGGGCTGCAGAACATTTCTTGGTAGACAGGGCATTAAAGCGGTTCTGCCCCTCTGCAGCACCCACCCTGCCCAGCACTGCGCAGCCCCATTCCCCGTGTCCATCACATCTGCACACTTGTAATCCAGGAGAGTTTTTCTCCTGCTGTTCAGCCAAAGCAATTTTATCACCCTCCCCCCATCTATTCAAAATCACTTGTGCGCAACCCCCCCTTTCAAAAACCACTCAAATTAGGTAAAACGAAGGGGATGCAAGTATCAGTGTCGCTGGGAGGGGAAAAGCTGCGCTGGCAGTGTAAGGAAGGGCTGCCAGGCAGATGAGGTTCACGGGCAGGGATGCTCCCAGGGCCTCTGAAGCAGGCAGGGGAGGCGAGCAGGCAGGAGTGGGAATGCTGCCTGCTGCCTCGGGCATCGGCACAGAGGGACAGCGGGACCCACCGAGCGCTGGGGAGGACTGGCAGCTTGTGGAAGGGCAGGGCAGCCCATTTTTGCAAGAAATTCACTTTTCCGGTGACACCCAGGGACACAGAGCTGGGCTGCATGGGCAAAAACGTTTGGTGACTTGTAGGGAGGGAGCTTTGGATTGGTTAAGGGACAGAGAAGCACGGGACCACCCGCAACAAGCCTGGGGGCTTGGGTACCGTGTCCGGAGAGATGTTTTTCCTCTTTTTGATTTCCCAAAGGATGCAGAGGGCACGTGAAATCCTGTACATCACGCAGCCCTTCTTCCTCGCTGCGTGATGTACCAGCAGCCAGCTTGGACATCCTCGCTCCAAGCCAGGGAGGGTATGATGAGTGGCAGGCAGGGAGGGGGACGCCGGGGGCCCCCTCCTCTGCTGCCATCCCTGCACTACCCTCTCGCTTGTGCTGCCCTCTCCACACCGTCCTATGCCAGCTTTGTCCGTGCCGGGCTCGGCCCCTTCCCAGGCAGTGCGGCGAGAACGCGGTGTTCCCGGTGTTCTCGGCTCGCCGTGTCCCACGGCGCGACAGTTGCCTGGAAACCGCCTCCGGCTGACACCATCAGCCGCCCCAGATTCAGCCAGCCCCGCGTTCCCTTCCCCGCGCCTTGCGCTAACAAGATGGCCGATGGGAGCTGGGGCGAACGGGGAGGAGGAGAGCTTTCCAGCCTGGCTGGCGAGCTCGAAGCCCTGCAGAAGGAGCCGGGCGGAGGGGAGCAGATGGCTTCCCCTGGGAAGGGAACACGGCGTCTTGCTCCAGGAGGTTTGCTGGATCCAGTCCGGACGTACGGTTTGGAAAGAAGGCACCTAGGAGGGGCTGTAGCTGGAACATGGGATCATTAGGTCATTGCTAAGCAAAAAAAACCCACCAACAAAACGCATGTGCTAACCGCTCGCATCAAAGGAGCTGGGCTCGGCTCCCGGAGCGGGGCCACAGATTTCTTTATTCCAGAGCCAGCCCTGGGAGACTGAGGGGAGAGGGAGATCCCCCTCCTTCCAGTGCCTCAAATCATCTCCAAACTGGGCTGGGGGGGATAGAATCCTCCCTCCCACGTCCTAGAGCCAGACGAGGACAGGGACCCTACAGGCTGAAGGGTCCTACTCACCCACCCTACTGACCGGGAGTCCCATCCCCAGGCTAGGGGACCTTGCAATCCTACCCTCCACCCCAATTTAGCATCCCGTTGGAAAGTGGAGGCAGGGGGATTAGGTGGGGCACTTGCCACCCTTAGCGCTTCAATGCTGGCATTTAAATGTTAACCAAAAGATTTTTCAGCGAGTCAGACACGAGCCCGCAGCAACGGGGAAGAGCTGGAGAGCTTCAAAGCCTGCCCCGATTGCCTGACAGCATGTTGATGTACCTTGTTGCCATGACATCATCACAGAGAAGCAGTTGAGTTTGCACCTCTTTCTTCCCATCTCCCCCCTGCTCCCTCGCCAGCTCTTCCTCCATCTTCCCAGCGCCTTCCCCCCTTCCCAGCAGGTTCGAGTCACCCTTGGGGTGGAGGAGGAGCCCTACATCCGAGGACATTTCCACTGCTGGCACCAAGTCGGGACTCCCCGGCAGCCGATAATGATGTTGCCCATCTCCCCTCAGCGGGGAGGGATTAAGTCATGAAACACAGCCCTCTGAGCTGCTACTGCAGCTTTCTGGGACGGGCGGATAGGAAAGGTCATTTTGGCTGGCACCGATGCATCACCCTGCGTTTTTCATCTCCTTTTCCACATCTGACTCAGCCTGATGCTTTGATGGGTAATGGCAGCAATACACAGGAGGCAAGAAACGAGAGGGAGAGGAGAACACAATAGCAAGCCACCTGTTGCCAACTTCCCCAGCTTTCTGCTGAAAATTCGTAAGGTAAAAACCTCCAGCAAGAGACTGCAGTTTTATAGTCAAAAGCAAATAGGCCCTAGAGGCTCCAAAGCATCAGCCACAGAGGGGTCTCTTGCAGGAAAACACAGGACAAGGCCCCGTCTCCAGTCCGTGAACCATACTCCCCTGAAAATTACAGGCACGCTCAAAAGGGTGCCAGTTCCACAGCAAGAGGAGGACGAAAACCTCCAACACACAGGGACCAGCGCAGCATGGCTCAACTTGCAATGGGCAGGAAAATTGATCTGTCTTACTGAACACTTGCCTGACATGCACAGCTGAATTTTGGGAAGCTGAGGTTAGCGCTTTCGCACACAGCACTGATGACGGGCACGCAAACCAGCTAAGATGGGTTGGCTTCTCTGTGGTAACTCCTTGTAGGAAAGCTGTAACCCTTGGAAACAAAAATAGCCTGCCGCTCTCCTGTGAGCCACCTTGCACTTACCTTGGGGGAGTTACAGTGTGGGAGCTGACTTGCTGCAAATTCACACCTATCTCACACCTAGTTTGCACGCTCATGCTTTGAGAAGGCTGGGGAGTGGTCAACGTTTGCTTATTGCCAATGCAGGTCATGGAGACATTAGCTTTGGTCAGCTGGTGGCCAAAGAGATAACAGACCGGCAGCGAGGCCAAAAGATTGTGTGCTGAGGTAAGCAGCTCCCTATAATCATCTGCAGGTCAGCACGACCGTGCAGAGATGCCTATGACCGGCATCTGTGCATATGCACACAGCAGTTAATTATTCATTAGTGTGAAAGAAGCACGATTAAAGAGAGTATGGTATGGCTGAGGGTATCATCACGCTCCAACGCGGGGCATTCCAAAGACACTGGCTTTAACCTTTTCCTCTGGACCTACGGGGATAAAACGTAGAGGAGATAGAGTCATGGAAGAGAAAATCATCTTTTCCACCTGCCAGCTGCAGAAAGTGCCAGTCGACAGTGTAAAGGCAGCCAGCTGGAGTGAGACATAGTAACCACACCAAGAGACAGCTCAAAGGATTTGGACTCTTCTGCACCGTACAATGCTCCTGGCACTGTGGTCCACCGCACAGGGCAGGTATCATGGTACCAACTACCTTACGATACCGGTTATGTGTCCCCCCTACTTTGCAATTCCCTTCCACCTGATCAATAAGGAATTGTGAGAGGACATCGGGCCCAGCCAGCACAGATGGTCCAAATTTGAAATCATTTCTAGTTGTCTTCACATTCCTCTAATTCCTGGCTTACAGAAGAGCTCCTGACATGATGAAATGGAGGAAGGACACCTCTAGCACCACACTGAGGTTCAGAGAAGGAACAAAAGGAATTGTAAGACCCTCCACCAGTTTGATCCACCGCAGGCACTAATGGAGAAAGGTCCTTCGGAATTGAACTACAGACTAGACTGTGGCCTCTGATAAAACACGAGGTGCCAGTGGTACTGCTGGCAACGTTCTGAGAGGAAAGTCTGAAAATCAAGGAAGCCACAAATGCGAGACCCCGAAGGTCAGAGCAGGGGCACACTGGCTGGGCAGAGGGCGCGAGTACACTCCCTTGCTGCTACTTAAGACAGCTGTGTGGACTGAGGACTTTGGCCAGCAGCACTGCAGACCTGGCAACCTCCCTCAGCATCGTGGCTTGCACTGGTGAAAGGAACTGAGCAGGGAGGATGAGAGCGCGTCTCTGGTACCTACGAGTCACCCAGGAAACAGGCAGGATGGACACTTGTCACCGTCCTCCACCTGAGCTACACCATTGCTTACTTACTTCCATGTTTCCTGAACTACTTTTCCTTTTCGTCTTCCACTTTGTGATTTTCGTTTTAGAACACACACAGAAAAGGACATTTTACTAAATTTTTATTGTAAAAACACAGTTCCCCAGATTTATATAAATAAGCCATATACGTAACATACAATTATGTTCATTCCATCCTCCAACATTGACAGCTTTAAAAATTGAAACAGGCTAAAAGAACGTAAGTCCAAAAAGACATTAGGTTTCTGATGACCAAGTGATATCTCACATGGAGCCTCCTTCCTCTACCAGCCTCCAAACAAGATGCTGAAAGTACACAGCACTTGCAACGCCCCCAAGAACTGACAGGGAGGCATTTGAGCCTTATGAAGAGTTCTCACCCACTCCGCAGGCGTCGTCAGCCGCCTGTGTTTTCATGCTCTCTCAGTGTGCGGTGGGTGAGAAAGGAGGGGGCAGTTTGCGTAGCAACCTCCTACACCCAGGCAGCTCAGCTGTTGTACCCTCCCAAAAGAAGCGGGGAAGGGCAAGCCGAGTCTGCTTCCCTGTGGCTAACACCTCCACGGGCAGCGGGAAGGGAGACCCTTGGCACGGCCAGTTCTGTACGGACATCTTAGAAG